CTGTACGACCTGGATTCACAGCACCTCCCCATCTTAATTACCCTTGGCCTAAAGGCGGTGACTACGCCGCCCAGAACAGTTAAGACACGTGTCGACTGGAGGCTCTACCACAAACACCTGCAGGAGAGACCTCCAGCACACCACCCCTTAAACACAGCGGACGACGTAGAGGCCGCAGCTACCAACATAACCAAGGCGATACAAGAGGCCCTCAACGCTGCCTCTACGATCGTCCCGATGTCTACAAGGAGAGACGATCTGCCGCGACACATTAGCGTGCAGATCAGGAGAAAAAGGGCGTTAAGGAGACTCTGGGCGCGTACTCGCTGCCCGAGAATCAAGACACAACTGAACACCTTGTCGGAGGAACTGTCGGTTGCAGTCCAGGCACATAGAGGAGATACCTGGGAGCGGCGTATATGGAAGGCGGAAGAGCATGATGCGTCGCTCTATAAACTGAACCGACAGTTATCTAAAGCCAAACCTCCCGTTTGCCCGCTGACCAACAACGCGGGCGAACGTCGTTACAATGCCAAGAGTAGAGCGGATATCCTAGTAGAACACTTCGAGGAGCAATTTATGCCGAACCCAGCAAGTGCGGAGTTCTTGGAGCTTCATGCTCAAAAGGAGAGTCGCGTACAGGAGTTCCTGTCGTCGCCCGCGCCGCCTCTTGCAGGAGAGTGGTTCATCTCCCCCGCTGAACTGCGGTGGACAGCAACCCGCCTGCAACCGAGGAAGGCGCCGGGGCACGATGGGATTACCAACGCTGCACTCCAACAGCTACCCCATAGAGTCCTAATAGAGCTTGGTCGACTCTACAATGGGATATTGCGGAGATCCCACTTCCCGGAGGACTGGAAGAAAGGCAAAGTGATCGTCTTGCCGAAACCCGGGAAGGACAGGCGTAGAGCTGCCAGCTACAGGCCGATCACGCTGCTACCACACATAGCTAAACTGATTGAAAGATTGTTGCTAAGACGCCTCCGCCCGTGCATTCAACTTCGGGCGGAGCAGCACGGATTCAGGAGGGGTCACTCCACAGCAACACAGCTGACCAGAGTGCTGCACCTGCTTGCGGCCGAACACAACCGTGGCCGCACTACGTTAGGCGTCTTTCTCGATATCGAGAAGGCGTTCGACAGGGTGTGGCATTCTGGACTACTTTATAAACTAAAAGAACAGACCAGTGTCCCTCCTACTATGTTGCGGCTAGTGGCGTCTTTCCTTGGCAGACAGGAAGTTCTACGTCTGCGTAGAGGGCGCCGAGTCCGCAACCAGAACCATCAGAGCCGGCGTTCCTCAGGGCAGCTGTTTGTCTCCAGTCCTGTACGCGGCTTATACCAACGATATCCCTACCCTGGAAGGAAGGCTGCAAGAGTGGGAGGATGACGTGGAATTGGCATTATACGCGGACGATAGCGCTTATTTCACCTCGTCCAGAAGAGCCCACATTGCCACTGCCAGGATGCAACGTCTCCTGGACCTGCTGCCACCATGGCTAGATGAGTGGAGGATGGTCGTCAACGTTGGTAAGACGACCGCTCTGCTCACTCTCCGCTTCAGGAACCTACCACCCCAGTTAACCCTCAATGGCCAGAAGATCGCGTACGAGAAGGCCGTGACCTACCTTGGGTGCCGGATCGACCGGGCGCTGCGCATGACTGCGCACGTCGACCTCGTTGTCCGTAGAGCACGATGTGCGCGGGCGATGCTCCGTCAGGTCCTGGCATCCAAGTTACCACTTAACACCAAAGTGCGAGTTTACAAAACATATATCAGATCCATCATTACGTATACTGCTCCGGCCTGGTACGCGCTTCTGAGCGAGCCTCTGAGGCGGCGACTGCAGGCCCAGCAAAATATGGCGTTAAGAACCATCGTCGGTGCGGGTCGCTACGTCCGGAATGACGTCATAGCGGCCTGAACCTGAAGATTGACACCATCCAGGAGTTTGTGGCCCGGTTGGCGCGCGGACTGTTCGACCGTGCAGACAACGGGCCACACCTACATCTGAACCAACTTGCGCCGCTACACACTCGCCCTCCGGACGGGCGACCCTATCCAAGAGAACTCCTCTCTATATCGATTAGAGAGTCGAGTAACAACCCTCAATGCCGCTGAAAGGCCAACTCCGACTTTATATTAGACAACCTCTCTTTTTTCCCGTAGTCGGTTAACTACGGGAAAAACTAACTAACAACGCCAATAGAAGGCTCCCAGGACCGGTCCATAGTGGTGGACCGCGAGGATAGCACGGGTAATGGGGGCATACCCCGAGGCCCGAACCCTACATGTCTCATTGGGGCATGAAGACAACAATCAACGTTACAAATCGTTCGGGACCAACAGTATACGAGTATATAATTATCAAGAAAGAAAAAGTGTATAGGGAAGTGATAGGGAAAGTAATTACTCTCTCACGGAACGGTTTGAAGATAATTACTGTTTTATTCCCAAGGAATCCTTCACCTTTAAAAAGTAAAATACAGTCCACTGGTGTCGCTATTGCGGCACATATTGAAGAATTAAGGCGTTGGGACCGGGACGACTTCGGAAGACACGTAATCCCCGCCTGAACCTATTTGAAGAAAAGGAAGAGGTCGACGCTCTTGTGTGTTACTCCGTTGCGGGGTTCACATACGTTGTTCCCGAACCCAACGTAGGTGTCATAGGAGGTTAGGAAATCCGCTGCTGAACCAGCCGGAACAAGCGACCTCCCTCCTTCTCTGGTTCCTTTTCACTACTAAACTGTGACGAAACTATGTACAAGACTGTGACCTCGACATTAATATGGGACGGGGGGATCTGCCCACTCGACCTGCCCATAGAATACCACCTATTTTATTTTTCTTATTTATCTTTAGAAAATAATAGGTATATAATAAGATTGTATTTTTATAATTTATATTTGTATTAGAATGAAATTTTATATTTAGTTTTATAAGTTAAAAAAAAAACAAAAGTATTAATTTATTTTTTTTATTTTTTGTCGGTGGGAGGTGTAGTGTGGCTCCACGAAATTATATATATTTGTGTTAAGTGTAGAATAAGGGACAGTATAATTAAAGTCTTGAGTAGATAAACACGTCTCCCTTTTATTTACCAACCGTACAACATTACAGCGGTATCTTGAGAACGACCAACTAATAAGTGAAGCCCAGTACGGTTTCCGTCGTGTTCGCTCAGCTCTTGATATTTTGGGTTAACTTACTCATAAATGGGCGGGGGCATTAGACTACAAGGGCCGTAAGTTTGAACGTAACGAAGACCTTCGATCGGGTATAGCGCAAGGCGCTGTTTTGTTTCTTTGTTTGGATTACCAACGATGAATACATCATTACATCCTTAATTAAAATTTACGGTTGTCCTTATTTTAGAAGCTTCCTTCCTATGGGCTTCCCGAGAAATTGTGCAATTGGATCACGAGCTATTTTACAGATAGAAGCAATAATGTCGTAGTAAACGGTACATGCTCTGATCAAGATCAGTGACCAGCGCCATTTCTTCTACATATCAATGACAAGTTGCAAACCGGTAGCATACATTACTATACAGATGATAGCACTGGTGATGCTTTATACACCTGCCGTGTAATACTTCTCTGAAAAACGTCGCCGAGTACCAGTACAAACTTGTGTCTGAAGTCAAGACTTTGTTAAAAAAAGTATCGGATTGGGGTTGACTAAATCTAGTGTAGTTAAATATCCAGAAGACAAGAATTTGCGCTTTTACTGCTAAAAAGAACTCTTTAGTCATATCTTCTTTAGTTTTAAGGCACTCCCCTTGTTGCCTTAGCCAGTATCGAAATCCTTGGCGTCGATATATCGAGTAACGTGCAGTTTCGTGTGCACTTGGAAGAAAAGGTAAAATTGGCCTCTTAAAAGCTGGGCATGCTCAGCAGATCAAGACAGTATTTCATGCCGGCACACCGCCTGCGACTTTACAAGGCGCAGGTTCGGCCACATATTTAATACTGTTCCCAACTCTGGGCTGGGGCTCCCGAATACCAGCTCCTTTCATTTGATCGCATCCAGCGCAGAGCTATTCGGATCGTCAGTGCCCGATTTTTTTCGATCGGATTGACTCACTAGCACTGCGAAGAGATGTTGCATCTCTTTGCATATTTTATCGTATTTACCACAGGGAGTGCTCTGAGGAATTGTCCGGACTAATTCCATTAGCTCTATTACACCATCGCACATCGTGACAAAACATCCATACCATTTGAATGACTGGCGGTCCACCACTTTGCGATTTAAAAGATTTTTTCCTCGTCGCACAACTTCCTTGTGGAATTGACTACCATGAGAGGTTTTTGCGGATACGATACAACTTATTGATTTTCAAGGAAAAAGCCTACTCTTTTTTAAAAGGCCGGGAACGCTTCTGCATTTCCCTGGTGTTGCAGTTGTTTATTGGTGGCGGTAATTACTTACCATCAGATAAGCCGTATGCTCGTTTTCCCCTTCTCCTATGAAAATATATGGCTGTGGCTCAATTTGATCGTATTCTGTATGATTTTTACACGGATTGACATGCGCGACTTCTGCCAATGTTTGTGCTTTAGCAATACCGAAGGACCATGCTCTCTTTTACTGGTTTGGTAGTTATTTTTCTGTGGTCTATGGTCCAGTTACCAACTTAAGATCCCTTTTCGGGGCGAGCCTTTACCACTTTTTAACCCATTACTTCCCAAGCTTTGAAAATATTGAAATTTTTTGATCAATTCTTTAAATTAAATTCATATTATATTAAGAAAAAAAAATATGACAAAAAAATAAAAAAAAATATACCTTCATCCCTGTTTCAGCCTTTCCTATAAATATGATAATGGGAACATGTGATCATAAATAATTCAAGTTAACAATAATAAGAAAATCTGCTTTATTTGAAAATTATGTCCAGAAACAGTTTTAAAAATAAATTATTATGAGCTTATTTTGTATGATAAGGTATGAAACAATCACTGCAAAGTGTTTTTTCACATTTTGCACAAAAGGTTAGAGGTTTTTTCTTACAACCTTGTCCTTAACAACGCCTCTGTTTGCCCTCTTTGTCATATAGTGACCAACATTATCAAACCTGACAGGTAGTAAAAGAACTTCTGAAGGACAGGATGTCGGTTGACTTGCCTTGCCTTTCGATATTTTCGTCCAAGCAAAACACACCCTTCGTCTGAAATCTAGCAGAGGGATGGTCTCATCTTTATTTATCTGGTTGTAGATAATCCATGCATTCACAAGGGACATGTCTAAAATACGGATGACAAAAGACCAATAACATTTTTTACCTCTAAAGCAGATTGGATATTTAGAAATCAGCCAATCATGTTTATCCACTCCTCCCATATTTTTATTATAATTATGAATAAGCATTGGCTGATTCACGGCTACTTTGGCCTTTTCTTTCTTTGAGTACCTATTCGTTTTTACCAAAGGTTCAACAGAATCAAAATTAGTCAAAAGACAAACAACATTGATGTCATGCCATTTCACGCACAAAATTTCATTATTTTTATCAAAAGGATAATCTGAAAAACCTTGGTCTTTCTTTTTCATCTCCTGTTTAGTCATGATAGACATTTTAGTCCTATTTTCTCTGACTTTCCCTGTAGCTCTGAACCCTTGAGATTTCAAATCAATCAACAGTTGCATGCTGCTGAAAAATTTATCGAAGTAGACTACATGTGCTCTGGGATCTGTATAAACTTCAAGCAACTTCTTTACCACTGTTGCACCCAAGCCATCATTACTACTAGCAGAGGTTGGAGCATCCTTGCCCGGGTAAAGCGAAAAGTTGTAACAATATCCGCTGACTCCACACAGTGCCCAAAGCTTATATCCGAACCTTACTAATTTACCTTTTATAAATTGTTTGATTTCATGGTGACCGAAGTATTTGACGATCACTTCATCAACAGCTAAATTGGATTCAAATACACCAAGCTTTCGGAATTTTGAAAGCTTTGTCAGTATTATCAATTTGTGAGTTGTCATTGAAATGTAAATAGGATTAAATTTTATCAAAACGATTACGGGACATTGCCTGTTCAACAAATGGAATATGTACATCCTCATCTCTACACCAATAAAGTTTACTTTGCGGCAAGTGATGATACGAAGAAAAAAACAAAATTCCTATAAAGATTTTAACTCACTTATAGTTAGATTAAAGTTCAAATCATTTTTATAATGTTTGGCGTAGGTTACAGTTTCGTGCACGATGTATTCTAGAGTCTCGTCATACAACAAGTTTTCAAATATTTCTACCGCTGAGTTTCCTTCCAACTCCGTAATCATATTTTTCAAACATTGTTTATCAGTATTAGATTCCAGCTGTATTTCAGAATGTACTGGTTCACACTTACGCCATGTGACTGTCTTGCTTGTCCAAGATGTGGTTTGAGTAGGATGATTTTCCGCGACGTTATCGATCGTGCACGAAAATTCCACCTGACCAGCTACATCAGATACCGGCAAAACTTACATATCGTCGTCATGACCTTATTCTATGTCATCATTTCATCTACCTCATCCGGCGGCAATATGGCAACTTCAATTTCATTCAACTCCTCATCACTAGAATCTCCAATATCTTGAAGATGGTGTACGATTTCGGACATCTTCAAAGCTTTTTTATACTTTTTTTGCACTGGATCCATGATCTATAAATAATAAAAAATAGAAAATATAAATATATAGCCACACGAATACTTATAATCATACAGACAGGTATATTGTTTACAATTAGATAAAGAACAAAAGAAAATATTTTTACTTACCTATAATTTCTCAATTTTTCTTATTCTTCAATTCACTTTTTTACTCTAGGTCGATAAACAATCACAATCGTTTCGTGTGACGAGATGTAATGTATTCGGCGTAGACTAATCGACTAATGTAAACACAAGCAAGACCCGCAAAAAATAAACAATTGACCAGTTTGAACGTGTACTTAGCGTGACAAGATCGAACATGCTTTCGCGGCAAATTGTACAGACAGGTTCCCAGTGTCATATTCATAGGACAGCTTATTTTTAATGTATATCACAGGTTCACAAATGGTTTTTTGTTTTTGTTTTTATTTGTTTTATATTTGGTAGAGATCTAAGAATAAGTCTTCTGAACTTTGAAGTAGGTAACGTTTTTCTTTTACGGTATATACAATTGGAACTCAATGCTCTCCTTCAGTCAACAAAAATGATCAATTTTAGAAAATTATATTAAAATTACGTAAAACATTTTTTACTGCGAAAAAAAATATTTTATTAGAAAAGGAGTGTAAAAATATGAATTTCATCAGAAATAATAAAAATAAAAGTCCTAATACGTAAAAAGAAATTTTGTTAATAGTGTCCTAAAAATATGACAGTGGGGAGGCATTGGTTAAGCTGTAGAGGAGCGAAGCCGTTATATCGTGTATTTTTATAATAACAATATGTGAGCTTTTGCTAAGTAGGCAGGGATTAATTAATAAGAAATTGATTGATGTAAATGTATCAGACAAGTAGAATTGGGACGACTTAATTAGGGATTTCTTAACCTTTTCGAGCCTTTTCTTCGTGAACAGGGTTTTTACCTTAAAGTTATTATTAGGTACTACCAACAGCTTTCGATTGCTCTGATGAATATTCAATAATCTTAGAGATGCCTTTTTTTATAGAATAGGGTGACAAACAAGCACACAGTTCACCTGATGGTAAGTGGTTGCTGCGGCCCATAGACATCTACATCTATCCTCCATTAAAAATCAAAATGCAGATGCGTTGTCACCCGTGAGGACTGAGATGGAATGCCTCGTTTCCAGTAAAAAGGGTCTCCGGTTCTCTACACTCACCATACGAAATACAGCAGCGTTAAGCTACTATTTCTCGCTGGTATTCTGTCAGAGCGTGGTCCTTCCCCGGTCGAGCCGACCCATTCGTGCTACAACTATACTACTAATATAACTGCAGCATGGCTCTACCACGTATTAAAAGAATTAAGTCACTAAAAAGAAGAAGAAAGAAGTGCCTAAAAGAACTAAGTCACTAAACAAACATAACGTGTAAATGTTAAATAAGATGATCACGCCATTATTTTATTAAACGACCTTAGACTTAATAAGAAGGTCTTTGATAAGGATAAATAGTTTTAGTATTTTGGTCACGTTATTTATATTTTTTTTATATTTTATAGATGGCCTCTTTGGCAATATATTAAGGGGGCGGGGTGCGTTACAATGACTACAACTATAAATAATATAAAATCTGGTTGCCAATTCACTTGTGATTGGTTGTATTTATTATGATGATGATGATTTGATCAAGAGGTCAATTAACGATCATGTATTTTTAAAATCTTAAAACAATAATATAAGTAATAAAATAAAATAAAATCTTAAAACAACAATGCAAGTTTGCATGTTTCCAGAGATAACATACAGAACTGAACCAGCAATTATCTGGCTGTAGAGCTCGAAAAAGCGACAAACGATGGGTAAGACAGGTTCTCTCAAGTTGATGTAATTAATTTAGGGCGGCCTCTTTCTCTCTCTCTCTCTCTCTCTCTCTCAAAACAAGAGAGAATTCGATGCATGCAGGTGGCTCAGAATACAAATTTTGTGGAATTCTTTGGGGAAGTCAAATGTTCGGTAGTAGACTTGTGACGGTGATCGACTTTTAAGATGAGAAATAAAATACCTTTATATCTCACACACTTTATATTGATACCCAGTTAAATAGTTTCTAAAATATTTTTTAGGAAATTGCTCTGTAACACAGCGTTATGCATAATCTCAAGACACTACCATTTTAAGAAACATTCATTGTATAATTTGTTAGTTTCCGTTAGTAAGGAAAAAATATCAGACAAATTCTTGTAAATAAGAAAGTTAGGCTGTAATGCTGTAAGGTTCATTTTACTTTCTTCACTTTGTACTTAAATAATCTAATGATTTTCATATTTATCGCGGAACGGAATGTGAATAATATTAACGTATTAAATTTTTTGAACGTGAAATACTCGCGTTATAATTAAACGAGTCGTGTCAATTAACAACTCTACAACAAAATATGACAAGTCTTTAGTAAACACTACTCTGAAGGGAAAGCCACGTCGTTTGTTTTAATTGTCTCATAAAAATTGTATCCCGTGTAGTAAAATATGTATTACTTCAGCCAATCTCTTCTACTGTAAGAGCTTTTTGGGTTATCGTGTTAGAATTGCATAATGTAGATACCTCATTTAATTTCACATCTTGAATTTCAGCAATGTAACGACCCACTTCATTAATTACAAAAGTTGGCTATTTATAAATATTTAGTTTAAACATATTATGATCTTAAATGAAAATGTATATTAATATTCAATTTTTTTTATTCTCAATAGGAAAACACGGTAGGTATAAATAATTATTCGGTACCGAATATACAAATTTGTAAACAGATACTTGATGTTAATTAAGAAATTCCTTTGCGTCGGTGTCAGTCACGGATTTATACTAATACTTCATGTCGGTTTAATAAGATGATTTTATTTAAGGACTACTTTTTTTACCTGCGGCTTCGCTCGCGTTGGTTTGAATTTAGAAACATGAATAATACTATTTTGTACTAAATTAGCGAAACTGGATCACTTGTGGAGACACGTCGGTATCTGTGTCTATATTGGACGTAGGAAATGCATTGACTTATATATTACTAGTGTAAGGACCGGGCCAACCGAACAACTAAAACGGACCAGTGCGCTGGTGGTGCAGTGGCGCCAACACGAATCGGTCGACAGTGGTGCGCGCGCAGGACAGATTTGTATGTCATAAATAAGTCAAGCTGCGTGGTAAAAGGATGCAAAAATTACGATACGAAGATTATAAAGGAACATGGGATATCGTATCATCGGTTGATAACCCTGTATTAATTTTGTTACAATTAAATTATTATATGAACGCATTTTCAAAGTTTTATTTTACAGTTAGTTTAGTTACGTAACCAATATTAGGACAGGGTTGGATTCAGACCCTCAAAAATATTGTACATGAAAAATAAAATTTTTTAAAAAAAATAGTTACTTCATGTTTCTTTTTTCCCATGTGGCGGGATTTTGGCGTCACGCGTCTAGTTTATCTATCCGTTTCGTTTTTTGACTGTTTTATTTTTGTTTTATTTTTGTCTAAAAAACTTAGAATAAGTTAAATTTTGAATACTGGTAACTAATATATTTTATATTCAATAAGGATAAAACGAAAAGAGTATAAAAGAAATCATGTCTGCTTAATTGAATCTGAAAATCTGATTCATAAAATATTTTGAAACTCTGTTTTCAAACCGATTGCTTCTGGAGCATAGAGTTTTTATCGTGGTAGCCCCTTATTATAGTTGTATCAAGGATGCAACATAAATGCATCGATCGAGCACCGAAGAAACCGAAGAAAGGGAGCTAATTCTAATTTTATTTAAAAAATGCTATACTCATGAAATTCTCGATATCGTAGGGTTAATATTAAAAAGTAAAAGGACCCAATAATAATACAAGTCGATCTTTAGGTAAAATGATGGTATTTGCGCTTAGTATTATTACGATACTATATACTACAAACTATGAAATAATGGTACAATTAGGATAATTATACTACGAAATCCGACCCTGCCTACGTCGTGTTATGATATGACGTTTGTATTATGACAGATGCGCTACTTTTTCGTGTATGAAAAAGTTATGAGTAAAATATTTAGATGGGCCTATCCATCCTTTTGAAATCATTGAGGAAATGTTATAATTTCCAAATATTGTATGCTACGGAAACACATGAGTGAGTTTATCAGAATTTCATTAATATCATACTTCTAGGAATAAATTTTTTATATCGGACATGTTATTTCGATGTGTCTTTATGAAGGATAAATTACCCTGGAATCAAAATGTGTTGTTTAAATGTGTAAAAGAAATTCATAAGTAAATTTGAAATATTTTTTGCAATATAATGTTGAATTTCGTGATCCTTATTAATATTGGCCCCAATGAATATTGATTACCACCAGAAAATACATAGACATCAAAATTCAAAAAAATTCAAAATTTTATAGATGTAGTTCTATTTATGTTGAACGTGTGAGAAGAACTAAACTCATGTACGGGAGTAGAAATCCATAGAAGACGGATAGCAGCGTCTTCCTGATCATAGCCTAACATGATAAAAATATGCAGTTGGCAACTCGCATGCTGAGCGTGGCAAATACGGCAGAAATGCAACTTATTTGGCAATTCATGGGGGGAATCTAATTGATAAACGGTATTATATTAGCCATGTAGAGGCGGCCAAAATGATACCACTACTTATTTCGTCCCTTGGGTGTCGTAAGAGGCAACAGAGCGAAACAGAAACATGAGATGGGGTGAAAGCATATTCTTGATAACGCGAACTGATAAAAAGCTGTGGTTGCCAACCCGCTTGCCAAACGTAAATGCTACTGCAAATATCCGGTCTATTTCAAAAATAACGTTACTAAGGGTTAAAAAAGTAGCAGTTTAGATACATTCCATTATTGGACCCAGGCTGCAGCGAGTTTTAGGACAAAAAGGAGTTCACATACCTATACCTAAAAATAATTTCGGAAATATTTATTTAACTTCTCAGGTATGCAAGTTTCCTTACGAAGTTTTATCCTCCTAAGAAGATGGTAAA